GTGGACTCCAGAACGGAAGCTCCCTAGACCCTAGGAGGACACTGAGAACCACCTCCAGCCAGATCTTGCTGTCTCCACCTGGTTCCAAGCCAGACTGTCTAGGGCCACAGAGGGTCTGTGCCCAGGGGCTATGGTGGTAACCGCCTGGGGCTGTAGAACGCTTCCTCCATTCTGGAGCTGGCCCTCGGGAGGAACTGTGAGGACTGGGAGGCAAAGACTTTGCTCAGGAGGCAGCTCCTTTAGAGGAAGGGAAGTAGTAAGTAGGGAGAATTCTATGGGTGGAACCCCGGGGAGAGGCCTGCTCAGAATACAGCCAACAGAGGTTAACCATCCACCCCCCCAGGCTGTTAGAGAATCGATAAGAAAGTGTTTTCTTACCCACTGGGATGTGATATACTGCTAGCAAATCGATTTAAGGCTGGAGTCCTCAGATCAAACTCAGTACCAGAAATCACTCAGAGAATGAGGCAGTAAATCAGAGTTGAGAGGGCTGGACTATGGAGACGCGATCTTTCCAAAATATCGGGATGCCTACATACAAACTCTTCACTTCTCCCCTGGGATGGGGACATGGACTTGCTAATGCTAGGCTTTGTTCTAGACTCAGGGAGCATGATGTTTGAAAATATTTCCTGGAATGAAAATGCATAGATTTTCAGTTCCAGTGTAGCAGTAAGATAAGCTCTGAGTATGCAAAGGCAGTAGTGTAAGGAGAATCAAGTTTTTCCTGATGCAAGGAGTCCTTGCTTTGAGTGGACATTGTCACTGGCCTCTGTCTCCATCAGGGATTCTAAAGCCAAGGGAGGCTACACCAAATATATCACATGCCCTGTTCTGGTGGTCTGACTTCTCATAAGCTTTTATATCCTTGCTCAAAGGGAGAACGAGAACACCTCTCTGGGGGTAGAGGGAGTATATGATCTCTTCCTCCCAATGTGGAGCTTGCTTTTAAAAAACACTGCATGGGGGGCAGGGGAGGGGAAGGGCAACATACGTAACCTAAACATCTGTACCCCCATAATATGCTGAAATAAAAAAAAAAATCAAAGCACAAAAAAAACCCAAAAACACTGCATAAAAAAGTAATAATTAGGGTATTCTAAAAGCCACTTGGTATTGTCCATGTTCTCCAACTTTTCTAAAATGCAGCGTCCTTTACGGATTCACATAAATATCCCAGAGTCTTTAAAACGCCCTCCTTCCCAGCAACCACTGTACAGTCCACTGGAGAAAGTCACCCACAAGCAGTAGTAGGAGGAGGAGGAAGGGGAGGAGGGATATGTTTAACAGTTAGCTCTGTTGGGACATAAAAAGATGATAGCATTTGCCAATTTCCATGGTGTAAATACTGTAGCCACAGCTTTCAAGCTAGCAGGGTGAAGCCACTGAACACAAAGTTGGGAAGAGATGTGTACCATCAGCTCTTGCAAACTGCTGCAAGCCGGGTCCTGCACACCACTGGCTCTAAGACACATGTTAACACCCACCCCAGCTTCCCCTGGCCACAGCTGGGGATGGCCACCGTGCACCTACCTCTCTCAAAGGAATTTTTGATGTCATTGACTTCCACCTGAGATCCTGGCACTCTGAAGATCCCTTGCTGCTGGAGTCCTAAAAAGGAAACAAGGAAAAAGAGAAATAGTAAATGCCATTGGGCCTTGAGCTCATCAGTCCACTGGGACTACCAGTGACTCTCCCCATTGCTTGTCTCTTTCTCCCTCTATCCTTTAAAATAACAGAGTCATTCTTAGTGAAGGTCTCCTGGCGGAAGCCCAGAAATGGCCTCTGCAGTGAAACGCAGCTGGCCAAAGTACTCAGACACATCTGCTTCATGTGACTGTCATCTCCCGTTTGGGCTTAAAGGAAAAGGCCACAAGAGTTTATATCAATGCTATTCTCTTCCCTACCAACATCTGCCTTTAAGGAAAGCTAGACTCTAGAGTGGGAGATTAAATTATTAAAGAAAAACAATCTCATTTTTTAAACATGTTTCTCCAAGGCCTTAACAAAGAGGAGACCTTGAATCGGACACAGCAGTAACTATGTGACAGCAGCCTACATGACTGAAGGAATTAGAGGGCCTGCCTCACCTTAAATGGGAATTAATGGGGGAGCCTGGGATCCTTTCCCTGTTTTTCTATATAAAACAATTCTCCACATTATAATTTAAGAAGCATTTACTCTCAAAGGGCAGAGTTTGGTTTGTACATAGTATGTGCTCAACAAATGCTTGTTCATCTCTTTCGGTGAACAATATCGAATTTCTATCACCCAAGAGACTCTGATGCCATCCTCCTGGCTCGTGACCGCCTGGCCACAGTGACCTTCCCTGCCATGTTGAGCCTTTCCACTTGCCATTCTCCATTCTCTCCACCTGGACTGCATGGCAGGCTTCTTCTACTCTCTTGCGACTTAGTTCAAAGATCACCCCTCGGAGAGGTCTCTACTCACCACCTTAGCCAAAGCAGTTCCCTCTTTCCCCAGCCATTCTCTATCCCCTTTCAATTAGTTTCATGGCATTATAACTACCTGAAATTATGTTATGTATTTTTCTGCTTGTTTATTTCCTTGCCCTTTTCATTGGGAATGTGAGCAACCCAGGGCAGGCATCGTACCTCTCTTATTCATACCTATATTCTTATTGTCCTGTGCCTGTTATGCACTCAATAAATACACTTTTGGAGGAATGAGTAAGTGGACAAGCACGAGTTATCCATGGTGCTCTGGTGACACCATGGTTAACAATCCCAGACACAATTTCCTTCGTGGAGCTTATAATCGAGTAGTATTACCTGATCTATTGGTCAATGCCATTCAGTGCTCAAAGCACAGAGCTCTGGGGTTGGATGGGAAGTGGGGAAGGAACTAAAATAGTTCTCCTGTCAGTGCCCTCCCTGCTCCTGCTCCTCCGTTCTCCTAGGTCCTGGGTCCTCTAACCACGACCTCCACCCCCCAGAAACACACGGCTCAAAAGACGGCCATCAGAAGAGCAGCTGTTCCATGCAGCATTTCCCCCTTGGAAGCAGAGCAGTGACGGGAAGTCTTCCAAGATGAATTAGAATCTCATTTCCTATCAGAACAGCCTTGCACCTGTTCCGCAGATTGCTGAACAAACTGACCCAGGATGGAGCTTACCGTATAAATTGATGTATCGGATGCAGCTCTCGACTACAAGCGGTATAGCTTGTCCTGAATCCTTAAGAAAAAGAAAATTGTGAGTTTTATCGGGCTCGGCAACCACCACAGGAAAAAGACATTGCCCGCACCGATTATAAACTCAAGCCAGAATATTAGTACCATCAGATTAGTAGGAAAACAAGCAAGGAACTGCTAATCCTAAAGTCTCCACGAACAGTTACGATAGAAAGTCTTCAGTTAAGTGCAGAAAAAGGCATAGCTATAATAGTTTTAAAGAAATGCTCTGTCTTCTTACCCAGCTGACAAGGAATCTGGGCACAGGAGGCTTGACGGGCACACCTGGGGCAAGGGAGACGGCACCCACCGCATGGAGGGGGCTGGAGTCTGGCCTTGAAGAGTTCCCCGCCCTCCCCTCCACTCTGCCTCACCGCACAGCACTCCCCCAGTGCTCAGGGATAAAAAGGCAGGAGCGAGTCCTCCCTCTGTTACTGCAGTACCTGGTGCCAGAATTACAAGCTCCGGTGGTACTTTTGCACTCTAAGAAAGGAAGACCAGTTCTACTTATGATCTTACAAGCTAAACATCTAGATGCATACTTTGTTTAACAGTACACATGTCACAAGGAAAAGCTCTAGAAGCAGCTAATGTCAGCCATTGACCATGTAGTGGCCAACCTTAGTCAAAAAGGCTGAGTAAGATGTAATTCTAAATATATGCACCTGAAGTGTTTCAATGACATCTTCCTAGACTGGTCTGCAGCCACACATGGCTGAGCAAGAGGCAATTTTCTTTGGGAGTCCATGATTGGTTGACCTCTCTATTATTCGAGGTCACTTAAAGAGCATTAAAAAAATTGTTTTTTAAACTTTCGTAAAAAGGGGTCAAGTTAAATTACTAGCCTTCTCACAAGGTGAGGAAACAACAAGGCATACGCAACATGCTCTTGTAAAGACAGTGTGGCTTTGGATGCGCTCTTGGCCACTCCACGCCCCACCTGTGAATTCTACCCTTGATGACCACGGTCGGGGAGAGGACAAGATACGGACCCAGCAGCAACAGGCTAGGACTAGGTGGACTCTGTTCTGGAAGTCGGTACTAAAGACAGGTTCCATCCAGATGAATGGGGCTAATGGGCCTTTCTAGTAAATACCTGGTTCCTGGTTCGAGCATTTCTTCTTCCTCTGATAACAAAAAATAAACAGGCAGCAGAGCAGGAGAAAAAGAAAAGATTATGCAGGCATAGATCAGTTAGAGTAAGCAGATCCTTCAGAGTCCGTGAACGCCAAAATGCAATGGCAGCCAGCAAAGGTCCTGGGAGTCTGCCCCATAGCCTGCCCGTGGGGAGGGCCACCCTGAGCCGCAGTGCCTCGCAGGACTTCTGGAAGCTGCCCCCAGCCAGCCTTCACATGTGGCTGCCTTAGCCTCCCCCTCAGATTCCAGTGGACACAGGGGCTCCTTCTGTCCCTGTCACAGTGAAAGAGGTGAGCCCACCCCCATCCCCATGCCTGGCTTCTCCCCAACGAAAGGGACTGTTATTCCCCAGGGGGGCAAGGGCCACCTGAGGCCCCGTAAGGTAAGCCTAGCTGCCCACAAAGAGGAAAGAAACACACCTTTGTGTCTGTTGCAACGCTGTCCCTGGAATTCAGCTCAAGAAACCTCATTCTTGGTAGAAAGTTCAATTTTACCAAGATCACGTTTATGAGGTGCCCTCTGGGTAGGGTCCAACAGGATCCTGCCTGATCCCTAATTCCAAACAGCCACCCGTGCCTTCCTATCACACACCGCAGTGGGCTTTTCCCAGATGTCCGCTTGGCTCTGCGCCCTTTCCGACCGTCCTGACCTTCACACTGGCACTGAGAACACCTCTGGAACGCAGAAGCTGGGAGAGGCCCGGAGGAGGGAGGGAAGTAGAGTCAGACACCTGCATGGTCTCGGGCAGCGCTGGAGCCTTGGCTTTCACTGAAAGCCACTGGCGATGCCCACTGTTGGGGGGGCACCATGTGTTCTTCCTTTCCACGTGTGCAGCCGGTCAGGCTCTGGGGTGGGTGCTGTGTCTTACGCAGGCTCCTTGAGGACATGTGCCTTCTAGCTAGTGCCATCTGTCCAGCTCCTGGCATCTCAACAACTGGCATCGTCTGCTAACCAACATGCTGGCTGAACCCACGTGAGTCCTAGAACTGAGCGAACAGCTCGGTGTGGTCAAATGGGCTCCTAGGAGCAATATTCTAAAATGAACGCTAACAATGCTAGGTAGTAGTTACACAGGCTTACATGTGCCAGCCAGTGCTCCAGAAACATGACATATATTATTAGCACATTTAATCTTTACCACAAACTCACGAGGTAGGTAATTGCCATTCTCTTTTACGGAAAAAAGATGGGCACTCTGCCCCTGCCCCAGAGGTGAACCTCCTGGGCTTCAAAATTGACTCATAACAAAATTGACTCTATAAAAATGGGATTTCCTTCTGTCTGAGAGGAGGAAAAAAATCTAGGATTTTGAACAGGGTTGATTTTCAGGTAAGGTCCTAAAAAAGTATAAATCTAACTCCAACAACATTTATTCATTGTTCCTTAAACCATCCTAATCGTGGAGTCCTGGCGATGCTATTTTATTGAAAAACTTTTCACGGGTGTGGTTTTTCAAAGCTGGAGACTCTTAGTTCAATGTTCTTTCAGATGGCATGTGAATTACAATAGAAAATTAAATTCTGTTCCCAATAATTGTAATAATAATTATATTATTCTGCCTTCACATTCTCTGAAACTTCGTAACTCTCAAAAGTAAATCTGTGCTGTATGCAGTGTTGACTACCTAGTTCACAGCAGGTACACAGTACAAGTTTGTTGAACTGCACTGATGGTACGTAATAGGAGTACAGTGTGACTACAAAGAAATGCAACTGTGTTTAACGAATACGCCTTTTTTTCCCCAGATGAGTATTATTCCTCCACTCGTCCCCATAGGAGGCTGTGCCCTCATTCCAACAATGCTACCACTGCTCAGGTGCTCTGGGTGGGCCCTCCTTGGGGGCTCTTTTCAGAGCCAGTCTACCAACCCCACTGTAGCATATTTCTCTTGCCATTTTGTACCTTCAATGGTGCTGCAAAGCTGAGCTTTAAATGGAGCTTTGTATTCTAAAGATAAAGTGTCCATTCTAAGACAAAGTTTTGGCACCACTGATGAAGGCCGTGCTATGGTCTCTAAAGAAGATTGACCAAAGCAGTTGCAGCAATGATGATATATTTAGAATAAGGAGGTGGCTTCCCAGGTGACTACATCAAAGGGGCGAACGCTCATGTGGTTGATTAAGTGCTGATGTGTCGATCAGAAGGAATAAAGTCTGATTACTTTATAGTCACACATTATATATAGGACCTCTCTATTAAAAGAATATTTAATTCAACAGAACACAATTTTCAGATACTATCAGATAAGAATTGGTTCCTTCCAAGTATCCTGACTGACCACCCCTTTCCAAAGACCTGAGCGAATTGGGAAGGTGTTCCTGTCTCTGAGCCTTCGTTCCTTCTGTCCTATTCTTCTCCTCTTTCTACCCCTCCTTCAAGGCCCTGCCAGAGACCTCCTGCACCTGAGCTCATAGCTCTTCTTGCTCTGAACTTGTTCTTGTGGGGATAATTTACCAGGTGCTCATCCTGAATCCCCTTGCACTTTCTGCCTTTTGTGTTTAAAACCTCTCAAGCTCCCATATAAACTGCTTGAGGGCAGGGAGAGTAAATAGTCCCTCCCAGTCATGGGGCATGGCTCTTCCAGGCGCAAGGGTGAATGAGAAGAAAGTCTTGGAGGAGAGAGGGGGGAGGATGAAGAGAGAGGACTCCTTTGATGCAGCCTCATCCTCCCATGACCCAGTGGTGAACCGCTCCCTCTGGGCCACCTGATGCTCCCAGTAGGACCCCTCTTTGTGGGCATCCTCTCTGCTTCCGTCCTCTTAGGTACATGAAACAGCCCTCCCCATTGCCTGCCCCTGGGCAATCCCAACTTGGGCCCTGGTCTTCCACTTTCCCAGAACTCATTCCACTGGCAGAGACAGTCCTGACACCCAGGCTGGTCCTGCCTACCCGCTCCCCTGCCTAAGGCCACCCGTATGCAGGCTCTCGCTGTCCTGCAAGTCCTGTGCTACACCCCGTCTGAGGACCAGGGCTGGGGAGCCAAAGTAGGGGCAGCCTCCATGACCCCCAAATCATCAGCAAAGCTCAAGAGCCTTTACTTTTCTCCTGATTGATACCTATCTTCTTTTCTGTGTCTTCATTGGATAGTGGTGGGCTCTCAAATATCTGGCAGGGACCTTCCCCCCGTCCCCTAAGTGATGTTAACAATGCTTCCCCTTCCTCAGCATGTCCCCACCTGCTGCTCTTTGCAACTCCATAACCATGTTAATTTGCCTTCAGCCCTTACATCTGGGATGGCTTGACCTTGTACCCCTAACATCGAAGAAAAAAGAAAAGAGGAACTCGCCTAGCTGAAACACCTTCATTTTTAGGTTAAGATGTAAAGGGTTAACCTGGAATTTGAAAGGGATTACCTCAACTCTTCTCCCTTCTTCCAAACCACCTAACAAGAAGCAAAACTAGGTGGGAGGATTTTCTCTTATAAAAATTGCATGTGTTTCCTTTGCTAGTACGTACTCAAATAAAAAAGAAATCACTTGTACAAAAGCACACTGTTACCCACAGGGATTTTCTTTGTGTCGCTGTCACTCAATTTCCCCTTGGGAGATGTGGGCGTGAAGTGAGGAACCGGGGTTCCTCTGACTTCCCTCAGGTGTTAGGACTGCAGTTCCTGCAGCAATAAAGCGTGGCTGGCTGGGGCCAGTGTCTGCCATTTCAACCCCACTTGAACGTGATCTGAGCCCTCCCCTTCGGGCTGAGACTCAGGGAGGGCACTTAGGGGCGACTGGCCAGAGGCCAAAGCAGCTCAGATAAAGTCTCTCACCGAAGCTAAGAGCAGGCTGCTGCGAGGAGCTAGCTCAGCAGGGCCTGGGCGAGGACAGGGCTGTCAGCCGGCGGGGAGGTGAGTGGAGAGAGGCTGCCATTACATTGGGCGCATTCGCGGACTCCATGGCTCCCCAGCAAGTACCTTAATGAACGCTTCCATACTGCCGTTAAAGAGTTTATGGCTATACACTGAGAGAGGCCTAGGTCTCCTCATTTTCTGTGGTTTAGGGGGAAGACAGGGGGGCCTAGGGGAAAACGGAACAAAAGAAATCAAGAAAGCAACCAACGTAAACATACAACTGGGAAAGATGCTCTTAAACCCAAGACTGGAAGAGAACACAAAATGCAAATGGAAGCCCCTGACCCCCCAACACATTGGTTTCCAATGTTCCATCTGAAGGCCTTCGGATGTTTTAGGGGAGCTTAATTTACCCACAGTGCCAAGCAGGAGCGACTCTTACATAACACAAACGCATTCTAAATCTTAGGGGAGAAACATAGACATGTCCAAGAAACCACTGAAACTCCAGAGGCTGTCATCCGGCAAAGCTGACCAGATGGAGGGGGACTCGGGGGAGAGAGATGTGATCTGTAGGCCAGGAAAGCAAGAGACTTTCAAAAGTGATCAGGAGGGTTAATTTTCATTATTTTGGATTAAATTCATCACCAAGTCTCAACTCCCAATGTACCAGGGCACTGATCTTCCTAATGCCTCTTGGCATTTCAAATACATTCGATGAATCTCTGTTTCATTGGTCTAAGAGCCAGGTAATTATTATTCTCATTTCAGAGATGAAGCAACTGATGCCAGCAGGGAGGCTGCAGCTTCTTTGGGGTCTCTGGGTGACCCAGGATGATGGTAAGATCGTGTTCTTCAGTCAAGTACACTTTTCAATTAATGCACTTTCAAATCCATTATCACACTTACCGCCACCTCAACCCCGTATCTGTGGCCCCATTTTACAGGAGCAGACCAAAGCCTCTGCTAAAGGAGAGCTGGCAGAGTGAGGCCCATGCCCAGGCCTCTTTGGCTCCAACTCTGGGCCTGCTTCTTCCAGACTGCACTCAGGGAGCCTTTTTTATTTCCAGCCAAGGACTTGCCTCTCCCATTAACCCTTGCCCTGGGGTCAGGTTGAAAGTGTCTTGCTTTACTTTAGGATCTCACTTCCTAAAGTATGCTCCACTCTCGGCCACAGGGAGGGAAACCACACCACGGTTCACCAACAACAGTGAAACAGCCACAAACACGGGACCTGTTTCCAGAGTTGCCCACCATGCATATACCTGTGTCGGCTTATTTGCTCATCTCGCCACCCAGGTTGGCCTGACTCAATGCTGCCCGGGACAAAGGGCTTTTTGAGGTTAGGAGGAGGGCCCCTAACCAAGAGAGGCAGTTTATTTTCAAATGGCTTGATTCCAAATTTGGGAAAAAACAACTGGGGACCTGGCTGGGCACAGATAATGCTCACACGTGATAAGCAAAGACCTGGTCCCCCAAAGATTGATTGACCTTTGTGAATGGGTAAGAAATCTTCTGGACTGTGCAGCCAGTCAAGATAAATGAAGTCCACGCTGCCTCTGTTTACTGGGCTCGTTGCACCTTGTCCCCTTCCGTAGCCCAGCCACCTAGGGAACACTAACCACTTCTCCCAGGTGTTTGAGTATTGAGCAAATGCTGCGAGCTCCAGGACATGCATGGGCAAAGACACGGTTGAATCCAAATATCATGCCACCCAAACAATGGAACCAAAGTAACAGCACAGATCAAAATTTTGAAAAGAAACAACAGGCAAGGTTATTTCAAGCCCATCTTGGATCTATGTCAATTTGGTTAGCTAAGTCCATGTCATTTCTTTTTTAAAAATTACTTCCTTTTTTGAGGATGTGTGTACACAGGGGTGGGATTTCTTACAATGGATCTGCTTATAAATTTCCAAATGTGAAAGGCAAAAGAGAGTGCCAAAAATGTGACATAAGGCCATAGGTTTTAAGTTTGGGGATTAGAAATAACTGGAGGATAGCAACATTGTCACCTTGTTTTCATAGTGTTTTGGGCTTCTGTTTTTGAACTTTCCCAGATCCTGTCCTTATCTCACGTTGCATGATAACCTTTTAACAACCCTGTGAGGCAGGCAAGAATTATTAAACCCTCTTTACACACAAGGCAAATGAGCCTATGAGAGATGAAGAAACTTGCCCAAGGTCACACTAATAAAACGTGATTGAGGCTGGAGGCAGAATTCAGCTCTTCCTACTCAAGGCTCCAGTGTAAGCGTGAAATTGATTTTTATCATAGAACATCTAGCAGTAATATTAAAGTATCTATTAAAATTCCCATGGCCAAGACAGAAACTCTTTAAAGCAGGTGTTGGACATCCAATATAAAAAAAATCTAGGGTGCCCAACCGGACAGTTTCCTTAAAAGACATCCTAAATGTTTTTGTTTTTTCTTAAATTTTATAAAGTGGAATAAAGGGAAAATAGGATATGTTTTCCCATAAAGCAAAGGACCGTTTGAATCACATCAGCATTTCTTTCTTTGTGTGGGCTCTGTGCACTGACTGGAATCTCTGACAAGGAAACGTAGCTATCCCAACTTTGCACGATATCAAATCTACATTGACTTACTGAAGTGCTGGGTGGGGCACAAAGTGGGGAGCAGGGGGACAGCTCAGCCAAGTAAAGTGGGGCAGCCTAAGCCTTCCATCTCTTCTGCTGCTCAGTTGCAGAGCAAAAAGGAAAGAAAGAGAGAGAGAGGGGCAGGGAAAACAGGAACAGAGAAAGCCACAGAGAGGAAGAAAGAGAAACCAGAGACCAATGTCCCCTTTCTGTCTTTCAACCAAGATGAAAATTGACACGCGTTGGCAACACGGGAATTAGCCTCAAAAATTATCCTGTGACTAAAAGCATGTGATTAAAAATTTCCCTAGACAATCCAACAGATGTAGAGGTCAACATCCAAAATGGTGGCACTACTGTAGTTCAATGGCAGTCAGGCTCTTAGAGGCTGTACATGGGTGCATAGCACACTGCATCTGTTTGGACAAGATCTCGAGTGCCTTCGCCCCAATTCAGGCATGGGCCATGTCAACCTGGGTAAGGGAAGCCACACTTTCATCTGAATCGCAATTATCAAACCTTACATTTGCATCTTGCTTTGCCCTTTACAATATAATTTTTAAGTGCATTATCACGTCTGGCCACCCTAAATTACAGGGTTACTAGGAATGTGGGCTATTCTAATATACGAAAAGTGTGAGAAAAATGCACCATGCGGCAGCCCATGTGCAAAACTGGTCCATGTATACAAGGTCAACAGCAACTTGGCTGAGGGGACCTGCTCAAATGACCATCCAAAATGACACTGACCACATGCAGGGGTCCATAGAGGATACAGAAAGAGCCACAGTACAGAGACATTTTACCTGGGCCTTTCGGATTAATTTTAAAACCACTTCCAAGTTGGCAACAAGTTCTACACATTAAATAATTATTTTGGAGCTAAAGGGAGATTTTTTTAGCTTTCTAACGAAGTTGTCTTTGACCTTTTCTACGGGCCAGAGTGCATAGGGGGAGGCCTGCAATTCAGTGCAGTGTAGCTGCAAATAGTGTAGGGTATCTAAGTGGGAGGTCTGGTAATCTTAGCTTGGATTTCCCAGGCCCTAGGTCAAAGAGGGTGTGGAACAGAACACCTCAGAGGGCTTTATTTAAAAATACAAAACAAACTCTCAACTCTCCCCTGAGGGAGGACCCTGAGACCTGGCCAAGGGTTTGGTTACAGATCTCCTCTCCTGCAATCTGCTGGAACAATCTTCTCCACATGAATTCTAGGAATTAGGAAGAAGTGAGGGCAGCTCAATGCGTCCCCCATCTGTTTCACTATTAGCAGAATTTGGTGTAAAATATGGCTTCTGTTGTTTTGGGACTAGAACAACAACTTCTGGCCAGGAAAAAAAAAAATTATAATGGGTTTGTTTCTGAAAGGTTCTTAGAAAGTGACCCTGCACATCTGCCGCCCCATGTAGTGGGAGGGTCTCGCCTGGCGCGAATCACCCTAACGTTTCCAAATTGTGCCGGCCCGGAGGAACAGCTGCACAGGCTGAACCTCTGGAGAGCCCTCCGTTTCCTCACCCTGGGCTCAGGAAACTGAAAATCGCAGCGCTTTCCAAGCCTCTGCCCTCCCTACTCCCTTCCCAGGGAGCAAGAGAGAGTTGAGGGTTCGTCTTTGCTATTGCCAAATAGACAGCTTTCCAGGAATCTGAGCCACTGAGATGGATTTGTGGGAAAGGAAAAAATGCCCTCAGGTCACTGGGCGCAGAAAGTGAGGCAAAAAGTAGCTCTCAACTGCCACAGGAGAGGAAGGGGCAGGCCTGTGGGCCACGGGCTGTATTCCAGCTGGGCAGCCCGACAGCTCTTGCAGGGAACTCAGAAAGGAATGGGCTCTATGGAACAATCTGGATGCAGACACAGCTGCCTAGGGATCTGAACTCTCTCAAAGGGGAGGAAAGTCAGCCCCTCGGCTATCAGCTGCTGAGTGGAAAGTGTTCACTGGCTCCGGTCTGCTCAGGGAAAAGCGCGAAGGGGGACGTTGAACAAGCTGGAGAGAAAGCAGAAGTGGCCCACCCAAGAGCCCGTGAGGTCCGAGCAAGGTGTGGGCGGCGCGGGTGTCTGCGCACGCCTGTGTGCCTGTGCGCATGCGTATGCCCAGCCGCGCGCAACGCCAGCCAGACCCGGGCGGCCCCCGGCCTCCGCGGGGCCGTTTGCTCAGCAGCCACGTAGCAGGTGGGGAGAGCGGTCAGCAGCCACCGCACGGCCTCTGGCCTCTCCTGGCTGCCCTCAGCCACTCTGAAACAGAAGTTACCGTCCCACCCGATGTACAGCGCAAAGGGGAGATGCCCCCCGCCTCTGAGCAGCTCCGAAAGCGCCCCTCCCCCTCGCAAGCTGGGGGGGCGTGGCCTCGCCATCTAATGCTGCACGGAGCCGAGCAGCCGCGTCAGCTACTGTGCCTTCCCTCTGCATCCCCGCACCAGCCCGCGGGGACACTGGTGAACAGCATCCAGCCCTCCCTAGCTCTCAGCAGTGTCTGCACTCCCCACCGCACTCCCACCCCACCTCATCCCGCCCCCGACCTCAGGCTACGGGTGAAAGAAAACAAGATTGTCCCACTCTCACCTGGTGGTGCCGCATTCTGCTCTCTCCCCTGGAAAGAAAAGTATACATGGATATTTAATTGCTTTTTTTAAATCAGAGAACATCCATCTTTTTCTAAAAACAAAACACAACTGGTCTTAGTTATTTATGAAATGTGAAATCTAATTATGCCTAAGGTATCGCCTGTTGAAAAGAACTTACTAATTCTTTATTAAAAGCCTCCTATTTTAAGAGCTGTGTTCACACACGTTATTCACATACATATTTTCGGTGATTCTCAAATTACAGGCTGCTGACTCCTTGCATCAGAAATATCTGGGGCTCTGGTGAAAAATGCAGATTTCTTGGCTCTCTCGTGGGTCTCCTAAATCAGAATCTCTGAGATAAGAACCCAGGAATCTGCATTTTAACAACCACCCCAGGTGATCCCTCCTATGCCTACCAAAAAGTTCAAGAACTCCTGCATTGTTTAATGTCGGCCAAGACTCAGTGAGCCCCTGTCACATGCCTGGCACTGAAGGGTACCAGCTATGGGCGCCTTCTTGTTGCACGTCCCCCTGCTACTCTCCCTCCAACCTTTATTCTCAGCCCAAGATCTTTTCACTTCCTTCGCGGGAAGAGGAAATCAGGAAGACGGGTTCTCCATCTGCGTTCTTCCAGGAGACCCACCCACCCACGCTCCCCTGTCCACTCCCGCCTCCTCTCCTGGCTCTCTGGAGAAGCATCTGGTTCTGCCAAAGCCCAGACCTCCTCCTCCTCCTGCTCTGGGTTCCATCCCCTCTGCCCTCCTCAGGACCTCAGTTTCTGCAAGGGTCTCCCCTCTCTCTAGCACCACCAATCTCCTCTCTTCTGGACCGTTTCCAACAGCATGTAAACATGCTCCAGAGATGCATGACCTAGCTTTTAACCCTTCTCTTGACACCATTTCTCCCTCTATATAACCATTTCTGTGCTCTCTCTCAAACTCCCTGAAGGAGCTGTCTACAAGTACTCTTGCTTCCTCCCCTCCGGTTCTCTGCTCTGCTCGCTCCACTGCAGTTAGGCTGCTGTCCTCACCTCTGGGCTGAGACTGGGAATGTTAAGGTCAACACTGAAGGTCAACAGTGATCTCCCTGTGGCTGAATCCCATGGTCTTCTCTGCCTTTACCTTCTCTGACCTCTCAGCACCATTCCGCTCACCCCTCCCTTCTTAAAGCTTTCTCCCCTTGATTTTCATGACTCCACACGACCCAGGTGTCCTTCCTGCCCTGCAGGCTGGTCCTCAGTTTCTCTTGCTGACTCCTCATCTGCCCAGACTCCTCTCTCTCTCTACATGTTAGAATGCCCCAGGATGCAACCTGGGGCTCCTTGCCTTTTCCATTCACCTCTCTAAGAGATCTCAAGTGCTTACTGGGACTCCTGACTCTTCTATGCAGCTCTTCCCCTTCCCCGGAATTCCAGACTCACATGCATTGCTCTTTTTTTTAAAAAAATAGCATTTTTGAGATATAATGTATATATCCTAAAATTCACCCATTTGAAGTGTATATTTCAATGATTTTTAGTAAATATTCAAAGTTATGCAACCCTCACCAGAATTCAGTTTGAGAACATTCCCATCCCCAGGAAAACATCCCTTGTGCCCATTTACGATCACTTCCTATTCTCACCTCTAGCCCCTGGCAACCCTGATTGACTCTCTGTCTCTGCAGATTTGTCGAGTCAAGACATGGCATATAAATGGAACTACACAATATGTGGTCCTTCGCATCTGGTTTCTTTCACTTAGCATAATGTTTTTGAGGTTTATCCATATGCCATGACTCAGTAATTCATTTCTACGTATGGCCGAATAACATTCCACTGTATAGACAGACCACATTTTCCTTAGCTATTCACCACCAGTTGCCCTCTTGGTATCTCAAACCCTGCATGTTCCCCAAAGCACTCTTTTTTCCATGGCTCAAACCTTCAAAAGTTTTCAATATCTCAATAAATGGACCACCACCTATCCACTTATTTAAGACAGAAGTCTAAGCATTATCCTTAAACACTCTCTTTCCTTCAAACCTTAAACCTATCCACTTCCCTCCATCTCAACACTACCTTCGTAGTCCAGGCCACCCTCACCTTTTGCCTGGATCACTTTCTTTTTAACTGATTTTCCTGTTCCACTACAATCCAGTCTTGACTTATAAGTCAAAGTAATCTCTTTATTTTATTTTTTATTTTTTTGTAGAAACAGAGTCTCACTATGTTGCCCAGGCTGGTCTCAAACTCCTGGTCTCAAGCAGTCCTCCCACCCCAGCCTCCCAAAGTGCTGGGATTACAGGCGTGAGCCACTGCGCCCGGCCCTCTCTTTAAGCTGTAAATCGCATCATGTCTTTCCCTTGCTTAGAACCCTCCAATAATCTCCCATCACACTCGGGATAAAATCCAAACCTCTTACTCTGTTTTATAAAGCCCTTTGAGATTTGAGCGGACCCTTCGAGATATCACTTCATGCTCTTGGGCTACTTTCTCCTTTGCACGCTGTGCTCCAGACCCAAAGCCCTTCTGCGTGGTCATCAAACAGGCCTTTGCATTTGCTGCCTAGAATTCTTTTGCCCTTGACAGTTGCATGGCTGGCTTTTCCTTGTCTTTTGGTCTCAGCTTAAAAGCTGTGTCCAGAGAAAAGCTTCCTCAATCTAAAGTAGATATTTGTTTATATCACATTTCTCTATTTAAATTCTTTCTACATACAGCTTATCATTAATATTTTTCATGCTTATTACTGATTACTTGTCTACTGCCAGTCTATCTCCACTATGTTCTATGACAGAAAGAATCTTGTCTGTTCTTAAAACTGCTATAACACCAAGGGCTTAGACAGTGTTTGGCACAAAGTATGTACTCACTAAATATTTATTGAATGAATAAATGAATGAACAAGTCCCCTACCTGCAAGAAGCTTAGTGCCAAATTATTCTAATAGTGAATAAGCAGATCATGCAATAGTGTCATAAGCACAACTACACAGGGTGTCATCCCTGTCACAATACGTGAGCAAACGGACTTGGAGAGATGAAGTGACTTTCCCAAGTCCTTGCCAAGTGAAGAGTTTGGATTATAATCCAGGTTGTCCAACTTCAAATCCGAGTTTTGCCTGGGGAATCTGGTTCCACCTACACAAACACAGCGTGAGAGAGAATGGATCTCCCCAACGGAATTTGCCTAAGACCCAGGGACTCCCTAAAGGTGGCACTTGCCTTCTAATAGCATCCTCTCCTTCTGGGCTTCAGGGACACAGTGTCTTAGAGATGTGGTCCCCAACCCCTGAGCTGTGGACCGGTACCAGTCGGTGGCCTGTTAGGAACTGGGCTGAACAGCAGGAGGCGAGTGGCTGGCTAGCAAGTGAAGCTTCATCTGTATTTACAGCCGCTCCCCGTCGCTCTCACCACGGCCTGAACTCTGCCTCCTTCCCCTGACCCCCACCCCGGGTCCGTGGAAAAATTGTCTTCCATAAAACCAGTCCCTGGTGCCAAAAAGGTTGGGGGACTGCTGCCTTAGAGGACAGCTCCCTGGGCAGGGATGTGGTGATCAAAATGAAGAGATTAAACAATATATTTTCCTTCCCCTTCCAAAACTGTACTGAAAATGCTGAGATCTAAGTCCTAATGTTAATTCTTTTACCAACTCACTGTGTGAGCTTGGACAAGCTATTAACACTTCCTTTCTTTGAGCCTCAATATTCTCAGTTTAAACTCTTCATTGCCTATCTAGTGCATTGCAGATGCCCACATCCCTGGACCTCACTCACCAAATGCCAGTAGTATTTGTTCCCTCATCATTGTGACATCCAAAAATGCGCCCACCCTGCATTTCCTGACACTCCTAGAAAGACAGAACTATTCCTAGTTCAGACCCTCTGGACCAATGCTGTGGAACAGAAATTTAATGCAAGCCACTATTTCTAGTAGCCACATTCCAAAAAGTAAAAAAATAGGTGAGGTTAATTTTAATACTATACTATACTTAACCTAATATATAATAAAAACTGTTATCACTTCAATATGCATAGATATAAAAAATTAATAGGATATTTTATATTCTTTTTTAAATCCTCAAAATCCGGTGTTCGTTTTGCACATCTCAGTTCACACTAGCCATGCCTGAAGTGTCCAACAGCCACATGCAGCTAGGGCCACCAGAGCGGACAGCACGGCTCTAGGCTCTATCATCCCATCCAGCATTAATAATTAGGGACTTTGAAAAGAAAGAATCGAGCTTTTGTTTTCTCTACAGAAGACAAAGCATCATGGGGCTAGGGGAGCAATGAGGGGAGGAAGAGAGTAACCCAGGATCTGAAAATAGAATTTGGAGCAAATCAACAGACAATTCCTTAATTCCTGACCAAAGCCACAAGCAGTAACAAGGGTGACTGCAGTTAGTTGGATTAGAGCCAAAGACTGAAGCAAAAACGGAGAAAAGTTTGGTAAAACAGGCAAATTTGTTCTGCTTAGTTTGATCATATGTCTTGGGTCTGAGGCAAATTCCTACCAGACACCAGTTTAGGTGAAATTTTCATGTGGACCCAGGACCTGCTGTCAGAGCCGATGGCAACCCATGAAAGGGGCCAGGCAATGGGCTGGGGATGTGGGGGGTGAGAGGGCTGACTGCCAAGTGCATCATTTCCCTTAGGGCCACCGTCTTTTGTGACTCCTCCCTACAGACTGGACCTTCAGAAGGTGTTTCCTGCTCCCTCCTCTAGGTTCCCAAACTGTCCACTCTTCTATGGATGCGCTATGGTCCAGTTACACCACCCTTCCTTTAGTTCTTCAGACTCACCACATCCTCTCCCGCCTTTGCAAATGCTGTCCTCTGCCCGGCACACTTTCCCCAGTTTCCAAGGTGGCTGTCACCTTCTCATCCTTCAGTCTCAGCTGAAACATCACCTCCCCTAAGAGTCCTCCATGATCACCTCATCTAAAGCAGGTCTCCCCCGCCCAACCCCACATACAAAATTGTTCTCTATCTCTGCCCAAATTTTTCGTTCACAACACATATCACAACTATAATTCTTTACTTAGCAATTTATTACCCTTTGAGGTCTCTATTCCCTGTGAGAGCAGGGACCCTTATCTGTCGCTGTCTCCCCAGGCCTGGCTAAGCACAGTGTCTGTGCTTTTAGATAGATGGATGGACAGATGGGGGTGAGGAGGGAGGAGGGGGCAGGTAGGAATCAAAGGGTTTAGGATGTGGAGTGGAATGGCAGAACACACTCAAGGCAGACTTCCCTCTGGTGTGGAATCTTATATATTATTCATCAGCCTCACACTCACATCCTAGCCCTCAAGAATCCCATTACCAACATCTTTAGGAATATGGTGTCTCAACTTCTAACAAACAACAGAAATCAAAAAATGCCCTCTCCTTTACCCCCTGAGACCTGCTGGGATTAAAAAAAAAATTTATAGCTGGTGGCTCAGTCGTATTCTAGAAGGTCAGACTGTCTGGTCCTGGTGGCCGTTTTGCTCCGTAATAGGCTATTAAATCTCGGCCTGAAAAGGTCATGTCCCATCCCTTTTGTGGGCAATGCACCAGTGATTCATCCTTGAGGGACTTTACTAAATTGAAAAACTGCTTGCATCTTGGGTGTAAACCCTGGAGCTTACAGACTACCCAAACCTCAGAGCAATAAAAATGTCTTATATCTAAGACTCAGAGACAATGATAAACCAAGAATTCTCTGGCCAATAAAACAACAAAGCAACAGGCAAGGGCAGATCTTGCTCCCAAGATGTGCCAGTGACATCATCTGTAACAAGGTATGCCACTTTGCAGAGCACCTAGAAGCTTTGTGTGTCTGGGGAAAAAGACTCCTGTGTCTAGGGTCAATCACGTTCAAAAATTCACTCCTAAGTAAAGGTGACCCAAAAGACCCTGTGTTTCTCTAACTTGTAGTTTCTTTGGGCCATGCTGTCAAAAGAGTACAGTAGTCCCCTTACCTATGGGGCATATGTTCCAAGAACCCCACTGGTGCCTAAAACTGTGGATAGTACCAAATCCTATATACGCTATGTTTTTTCGATCTGATAACCAAGACGGCTTCTAAGCGACTGATGGGCGGGGGGCACAGACGGCGTGGACACTCTGGACAAAGGGCGGAGTCATGTCCCGTCAAGGGTGGAACGAGAAAGAGATTTCATCACGCTACTCAGCATGGCATGCAATTTAAAACTAAGACTTATTTCTGGAATTTTCCATTTAATACTTTCGGACTGCGGTTGACTACAGGTAACTAAAACTGCCGAAAGTGAAACCACAAGTAAGGGAGGGACTACTGTACTTGAGAGAAACTAAGGCGCTAGACGTACTTCATTTCATCAAAAAGAAAAAAGGCCTGTATGTCTTCAGCTGAAATATTCCATCATCCCCATATTTCTCATCTGTTTTCAAAATTTCCAGGTCATCCCTCCCAATACAAAATAGCCCTCAGATGACATAAAAAGGCCACTGATGCAGATGTAACCCTATCCTACTTTTAAAAGAGAATTCTACTGAACAGAAGCATCGAAATGCCCACGTAGAGGCGAATCATCCGTAGACACGCAGAAGAATGAATTAGCTAAGAGTCCAAGCTACCTTTGGCCTGTTGAATTTCTCCACTCCCCCTTTCCCCAATGGGCAAGAGCTTTATCAATTAAGTTAGTGCAAATTCTCCCCTTTCATCCTACAGAGGATATACAAAAATGACTAGAGATGCATTCTCAATTTGTTCATCTTCCGTGTTTTCAGTCATGCAGTAATCTATTAATTTCAAGTAATAATAATGTACTGATATTCATTAATGGCGACAAATATACCATACTGATGTGAGTTGTTAATAATAAGGGAAGCTAGGTGTGGAGTATATGGGAACTCTGTACTATCTTTCCAACGTTTCTATAAATCTAAAACTATTTTAAAATAAAACGTTTATTAAAAAAAAGACTTCTGTAGAATTGACCAGTCTATCAAGACCCATCCCAGCCGTCTAAGGAAGCCCGGTGGGCTTTTCTAGATTACTAAACACAGGATTAGAGGGAGCCTTCTTGGTGGCTCTTTCTTAGCTGCCCCCGTCAATCTGAAGCTGCGTTTTCCTGGAGTTTTTTGTTGATAATCAGCTCAAAACTCAGAAGAGGGACTGGTCAATCAGTCTTAGAGCAAAGTGTGGTTGAAGGCTAAGTAATCTTGGAGGACCAAACGGACCGGGAAGTTTTGTCAACCAGAACTAAGTATTATTGTCATTGTTAAGATTTCGGTAAGGCCATCCAGGAAAGGACAGTAATAAAAGGCCACACCTGGCAGCACTCACAGAGGAGCCAGAGGGAAGCGCTTTCTCCTCCCAGTCAGAGGACTCATCCAGGATCTTATTTTTTAAAAGAACATCTAGTTTCCTAAATTCAGGGCATCTGATTTCAAAAATACAAGTAGCCACCAACTTATCTGGCCTGTCTTTTGTTACATGGCTCATGAGAAACAGCCGCCAGCCCCATCCCTGTCAAAACCAATCCTCCTCTGTAATGCTGGTCTTGGAAGCTGCCCACATCACACACACCCCGAGCTCCTCTCTTGGACCCCCTGTCTCTTCCCTCTCCCCGCCATCCCTGCTGTTTCTCTTCCCTCTTTGCTGCCCACGCTCCTAGCCCCTCCTCACACCCAGACCCAATACCGAATGTCAGGATTGGGTAGAATTTAGCAGGCTGAGGGGGAAGCTCATTGCAACTAACTCTTCCCCACCTCGACCCCCTATTCAATGAGTCTTGACAAATGTATACCCCCATGTATAACGCCCACCCAAATCAGGACATAGAACATTTATTTCCAGCACCCCCGAAGTTCCCCAGCTCTTACCGGCTAGAGCACAGAAAACTAATCCGTGGTGATAGAAACCAGATCAGTGGTTGTTTGGGGTAGAGAACGGGGGGACTGACTGCAAAGGGGCACAAGGGAGTTTCTGAGGGTGAATGAAATGCTCCATTCCCTGATTTGGGTTGTGGTTATACACGCAGATACAAAGGCCCTGGGGCAGGAATAAGCTTGGTGAGTTTTGAAGGGCAGAAATTTGCTCAGCACGGCTGGAGCACAGTTAGGGAGGGGTGAATGGTAGATGAGATCAGGGAAGCAGCCAGAAGACAAGTGACTTACGGCTTCATGTGCCATGAGATCAGCTTGGGATTTTATTCCAACTGTCACTGGAAGGCTTTGGGTGGTTTTAAGCTTACTCTCCAGGGCCCTCAAGGCCAAAAGCCTCCTTACACATATGGATTTTCCTTCTCTGGACCTAGAACCCTGGCCAGGCACTCCAGTATTTTCCCAGCAAACAGTATCTGCTGAAAAACCTCAATACATCAATTCCCACTTCCTGAGCAAGGTCCCTCCATCACTTTGCCTTGGACTCACCCCCACCCGAGCTAAGGTCGGTGGCTGCCCTCCGTTTTCTGCAGCCAGACCAGACCCCTCTCAACATCTGTACCAAGGGGATTTTCCCGGCCTGCCCAGTCCTGGTAGGGGGTCCAGGACCAGGATTCATTCTGCCAAGTGCCCAGTGTCTCAAGCTCAAATAGCTCAACGACTTGAGGTGCCACAAGAAAACCCAGCAGGGAGCACAGCCCCGGGCCGGCCTCTGCCCCCCACTCACCTTCGCCCAGGGTCTGCTTGAGTAGGTCATGCTTGGCCTGCAGCTTGGTGATGAGGTTACTGCCATTCACGTATTCTTTAAATTTCTGTAAGACACGAGGCACAGGGGAGTTACAGACTGCGGGGCAAAGTACTGGGATCTCTGCCCCTGGGACAGGGAGACCAAAGGGAGATCACGTCACCCTCAGGGACGCAGGCTCAGGAAAAGAAAGGCCTCCTCCATGCAGATACCAGCCCTGCCATGTGGCCACCAAGCCCTCGAGGGCTCCAGGCCTTTCGGGTCAAGGTTTGGGAACACACAGAAAGCCCGGGAAGGACGGGAGCTGTGAGAGCTGCGTTCGTCAGGTAAGGGCTGCACACGCAAAGGGCTTCTTTGGTCGTCAAAGCCTGGCTGTGCTTCTGCGCCAAGAGCAACGCAAATGGGAGCCGTCCCGGGGGCGCACAGCTGAGGCCAGAGAGCTCTATCGGACCTGCCAGAGAGGAACAAGTCTTTCTTTCATCCGGCCCCGCTCTGAAGGAGGAAGGGCTGTGCGGTCCCTGAGACGCAGTCCTGTTAAAATAACCCAAACTGCATCGGGTGATACGATTTTCTTCCTTGTACAGATGAGACAAGTGAAACCGGCACAGGGAAGTGATCTCCCTAAGGTCCCACGGAAAGTCACTCATGGGCCAGGCTAGCTTCAGCCCGCCTTCTAGTTCAGGGCCTTGCCTTAGAGCAGCGCCAAGCGACGGAGAACCGTGCCTGGCAGAAACACATCCACCTACCCAGAACCGGGCCTGGGCATCAGCCCCACCACCACACGGCTACCAGCTTTCCTCACTATGCCCCGTCCCCCGCACACAGTGCCACAGCCGGCCGGGCCTGCCTTTGCTGCCCTGCGAGCTGCCGGACAGTGGGACCCACAGTCACGCATTTCTGGAGCCCCGGTGCCTAAGGTCGTGCCTGGCTTAGAGCAGACGCTGAGAAATTCGGCTGGAGCCCTGCTCTCATGGGGCTTATATACCAAGGTGGGGACAGAGAAGAAATGAACCAAAAAAGTAAATAAAATACCACTTTGCAAGACAGTGGTGAATGCTATGGATGAAAACAAAGCAGAAACAGTGGACTAGAAATCCAAGAACTCACTGCGAAGTGGACATTTGAGCCAAGGCCTGAAGAGCGTGGGAAGGAGCTTTGCAAGCAGAGGGAACAGCAATTGCAGAAGCTCCGAGAGTGAATGAAGTCCAGGGGACAGATGGGACTGCCCCAAATCTACCAGCTAGTTTCTCACAAAGAAATCGACTCCAGTGCCCCAGCCAGCACACGCAAACAGGGGCAGAGAGGAGCGAGCCTCGGACGCTGGGACAGCCCCAATTCAACAGTAGGGAAGAGTCTCTGACACCAGCATCTTTCTGTTGAAGACAGTTGCAGGGGAAAGGCCGTGGGGTGGGGACTGACATATACACAGGTAAGATGGGAGGCACCTCACACTGGCCCATCGGTGGGTTTCTGGAATGACTGGGCTGGTGGGAGCTTGTGGCGTCCTCTCTCCATCTCCACGGTCCTCAGCTCCTAGGCCCTGGCCCTCGGCTGTTAAGAGTCACTCCCTTTGTATCTGTAGGGCACTCGACAGTTTTCAAACACGCACGTTTGAGCCTCACCACAGTCTTGGATGGCAAATAGGGAAGCAGCTCCAGGCCTGTTCTGCCCAGAAGGAAACAGAAGCTCAGAGCTGCAGTCGCTCATTGCGTGACTGTGGGCAGATTATTCCTGTTCTAGAATTACCTCGAGACTGACCCCTCATTTCACAGCTGAGGAGGAGCCACAGAGGCTCAGAAGTGCTCCAGATTCCAGGGGCTCATCTTGGGAAGGTCTGAGAACGTACATTTTTAACAAGCTTCCCACATGATTCAAAGGCAGACTTCAGTTTGGTCAACCACTCACCTAGAGGCTCGCTATGGATGCTTCCAGTAATACTGTCATCTCATTTTATCTCGGGTCCAAGAATTCACCGTAAAAAGCAGAGCTGACGAGTAAGCAGGTATTTTGTCCGCCATGCCTCACCACCCTCAGTAATTGGAGTTCTAACCCCAAACACACAACTCACACCTTGGCGGGTTACCCACTGGTTAGTGCAAACACACCAGGGCTCTGTGGCCCGTGGACTTTGCCTACCTCTTCCAAGCTTCACCCAGGGGAGCCACAAAAGAAAGAATGCCATCAAATTGTATTTGTGTTTGCATTAAAGGGAATATTATATCCTTAAAAAGACCTAAAGTAATGTTACAACATCAAGTCATGAGAAAGTATAGTAGCCAACTGGGTTGATAAATTGAGTATTAAGGATAAAATGGAACATCTTATGACCCTTGGTCACAGATACTGGAGAAATCTTCTTAACTTTAAGGGGCCAGACACCCGTCTCTGATTTTGCCACCCAGATTTCTTTGCTTCTACTGCCGAAGTGAATTAATATTCACGGCATGCCTCACTCATCATTGTAACCCATAAATTCTCTCTGTGAACACAGTGGGCCCCCTATGGAAGTGGAGAATGTCAGGAATTGGCATGGGCTGATTCGTTAAGCTCAGCTTGGTTTTCTTTCCCAACAAGGTCAAATTCAAAGGGTATTGATGGAAGAAATGCAGTGCAGGTCAACTACTGGTTTTCAACAAGGGATTCGACAAGGCCTATCACAAGACGGAGCTGGAAGTTAGAATTTGGTGCATCTGTGATGGGTTAAATGACCACAATCCAATCAATATCAGCCTCATTGCATCAGCCTAGTTGCATATTTTTAACAACTCTGTCTTCGGCCTTGGCCCTGGCATATTTACTAGTTTTTTTTCTTTTTTCATTGATAAACTTGCAGATATAGAAGCCTTGCTCACTGGATCTGCAGATGACACAATGCTTGAACAGACAGATGTATGTTGAACAACTGGATCAGGGTGTTGACAATCTGGAACCATGAACTGAATCCATCAGGAGGAAACCTAACTGGTGACAGGCCTAAGACCTGCCCATGACATCATCCACAGAGCCTCAGGGGGAGGGAAGCCTGGGTAATGGCAGCATGTAGGGAAGGGAGATTTAACCGATGTTAACTTAGCTTTAAAATAATTTTTTTAAAAAAGGAGAATATGATCTTGGAACACATGAATAGGGGCATAGTACCTGGTGTACAGGGGTGAACATTTCGCTCTGTTCTATGCTGGCCGGACCACTGCTGGGAATCTCGCTTTTGAAGAGCCATCAACAAATGGAACAAGTCGCTAGGAAACTGAGGTCACTCAAAACAAAAGCTCCTGAGGCAGGACTGAATCGGATACATTTAGCCTGGAGAAATGAAAACCCCTTCCCTGCAACCATGTGAAAGACTGTCATGTAGAATCAGCCTTGCTCTGGGTGGCCCCAGAGAACAGAATGGAGATCAGAGATAGATTTTTGAAGATTAAAAAACATAAAGGAAAACATTATAATACCCAAAGCCAGCCACAATCCAAACAAAAAGGCTGTCTGGGGAAGGAGGGAGCTTTTAATCCTGGGGCATTCAAGCAGAGTCTAGATGACCTCTTGGCAGGGGTATGGCTGGACAGAATCCAGCATCAGATGGAACATTTAAAGTCCCTTACAAAATTAATATCCCATTTTCAATAAACACATGTTGAACTAAAGCCCCAATTCCCCTTCTCTCTGTCCCTCCCGGCTCCTGGCCAAATGGAAGGTAACCAATATGGGACTTTATTTGAAGAGCTTGCAACTGAAGAGCATTTGCTTAGATTGCTGAGGGTATGGTTTCCAAAACCCACACCCAAATTTAAGACAATTCAACACAATAATCCATATTCACAACTTTAGGGTTGTTACTTGGGCCTGACACCTGACTCCTGTTAGCATTTTCCTCTCATTCAATGGAGTAAGACTCTCTTTGGTTTTTTCCAGAGGACAAAAGTTTCAGTAACTGTCACCCAAGACCAGTGCCAATGCTATCCACTGGCAATTCACTTTCTGCATTTCAGCAGACAGTGGGTTCCGGGTCCAGGATGCCACTTACTGTAAAATAAAACATTTCTGTTTCCTGCTGGTTGGCTCTCCTTTTGGCAATGTTGACCTTGCTCATGTAGGTCTCAGAGGCAGCCGACTTCACGGACTCCGTGGATCGACTGTGTTGGAAGGCATCGGAGACGTCAAAGTCCTCCACGGTCAGCATGTCCTGCAGGGTCTGCATGGTGGCATCCAGGGTCTTCCTAACCTGGGGGAAACACAGCATGCCAACAGCAAGCTTGTACTCTCACACTGCCTTTGACACTTCCAAATCCTTTCCCCAACTGTCGCTTTGTCTCCCATATAAAGTCTTTAGAAGGCAGGCAGAACAAAGACGATCATTCCCACTACACTGACGTGGAGAGTAAGGCGATTAGTCACTGGCCCATCGCACAGTTGGCTGGCATGAGAAGCCAGGATGCCCAATCTAAAGTCATTTTATCGTATTGCTTCTGCCAGAGAGACCTTAAGAATGAACGAAGGAGGAACTTGGGTTTCTGGCTTTGTTTTTCTTGGCCTGATTACATGGCCCCAAACTAGCTCCCCCTCGGTCACTCAAGTAGGGACAACACTAGAGATGCTCTAGTTTCCCTCACTCAGAGAGGGGAGGGGACAAAGCCTGGACAAGGGTGGGCAGCCATCCTCCATGAACGAACTCTCCAACTACGTGCTGCCACACTTCTATCAAAAGCCAGGCCAAGCAAAGGGAAACTCTAGGAATACAGCCACTGAGGCACACGCTGTTTGGTTAGGACGCCAGCCTCTCTCCTGGAGTCACATGGGACCACCACAAGGCTACACAAGCAGGGCACACTGGCCCTGGCCTCACAACACCCATTTGCTGGATTGGAACTAAACAGCAGACACTTTGATGGAGGGTCTTTTCAAAAACAGTCACAGGAAAAACTGCATCTACATTTGTTGTAAAATTATTGTCACTCAAAGTCTGTTTCTTGTCTGTCATTCAGACTTCAGCTTAAACACTACCTACTGATGTCTTCACTTACTGTCTAGCACTGCCTCATATTTTCCACACTCGTTCATTTATTGATTGGTTTGGTTTTGTGTTTTAATTTTTATCTGTCTTTTCTTAATAGAATACACCCTCCATGAGAGAGGTACTGTGTTGCTGTACCCCTGACTTTTATTCTCTGTCTAGAACAATGTTTAGCACATAATATATGCTCTATAAATACCTGAATAAGTATTACTTGAATAAATACTTGTTGAGTGAGTATGTGAATAAACGAATCTGACTTTCTTTCCAGCACAGCCTGATGGGAAGCTCAGGTTCAGAACTAAGCCCATGCACACCCATTCGCAGCCCACACGGAGGAACATTTGCTTCATTTTCCTTTCTTTGGTCCTGATTTCCAATTTAAATGCCATTAACATTATGATCCATATACTGCTCCATGTAAACAATTCAAAATCCTCTGGGGGAAGATGTAGGGCATAAAGAAAGAAAACACTCTGTTTATCTCCTGTCTCTTGCCAGGTTTGAAAAACAAATATATAATTTGTCTCCATATAACCTCCCCCAGGGGACTGCTTTGATCCGTTACCATCCTGAGCTACAATCTGTCTCACATTTGTCCTAGGCCTGTCCTTTGTGGAGACACAAAGCAAACCTGGCCTCTCTGCACAGGACAGCCCTCTTGAGACTGGAAGACCAGGACCACGTCTTCCCACCTCCCCCCACGACTGCACTTTCAAGGATAAACCTGCCCACAACCTCGGGTGACACTCCCATGTCCTGGTGTCCTTTCTCCAGGAGCCTCCGGTTGGCTGACATTCTCCTTGGAGGGAGGTGTTCAGGTTGGAACTGGATGTGCCCCGTCTGGCCTCTTCAGTCCACATCAGAATGGAACCTCCACAGCTGGTATTTCTACTGGTATCCACCTAGCAGTAACCCTGTGCCACCCCGCTGCATGGGAGGGACGCTGGGTGTGGCAAGACTGCCCCATTCCTTGCAGCTAAGGACCCATGGCATGTTGGGTGTGCCCTGGGTTGTTTATTTCACTGGGTAATTTAGAACACCTACGGTTTTATCTGATGATAAATACAGAAAATAACGGCAGAAAATAGAAAAATAATCATAAAGAAGTAAACAGAAACCACCTATAATCCCACAAGCCAGACGTACCACTGTTAACATTTTGAAGTATTTCCCTCCAGTCTTTTTTCTATGCCTGTGAATATACACAGATACATAGACACACACCTTAGCTTACCCTAGTTATGACAATACTGAACATAGAGTCCCACTTCCTCTTTGTCTTCCTTTAACTTCACATCTTGTGAGCATTGCTCCAGGCAATTAAAGATCCCTAGTGGGTGTGGCTTTAACGCTGGTGTAATATTCCATCTCACAGAGGAACCATCATGGCTTATGTGTTCCGTGGCCAGAGCGGACTCCTCGGGACAAGCCGAGCCTTTGTCAGTTAGTCCCCTACAGGGCAGAGGGGCTCACTCACCTCCTCATTCTCTATCTTGAGAGTGGCCAGTCTGGACTGCAGCTGGTGGTACCGCATGAGCAATTCCGTCTGGACGGGCTGCTGGGCACTGACCTGGCACACCTGCAGAAATGACAGCCACCACCTGTCAACCGCCCAGTGCCCTCCTCACCCATGTGGAGCTGGGGCAGAGGCTATCATTAACATCCCTTTCTACAGCCAAAGAAACAGGCTCAGAAAGGTTAAGTGACCTGCCCGAGGTCACACAGCTCATACATGGCCATGGCACCAATGCCAGACGGGAACCAGGGTCTTCCTACTCCAAAGCCCACCCTCTTGCCCTTGCCAGGTGTAGACTCAGCCATAATCTTCTGCATTTGTGCAGCGCTTGAGGGTTTCCAAAGAGCTTTAACATAGTCTCATGAAGCAAACCTAATTGGTTAATCTCAAGGCAGGAAGTTGTGGCAAGAAAGCAACCAGCTAAGAGAAGCCGATGGGAAGGACCCACGGGAAACGGTCAGCAGAACGCTCCCACTGCCCCGTGGGGCGATGCTGCAGAGAGGCAGCTGCCAGGTGTCGCTCTCACAGCTCCGCCTCCCGCAGCAGTTGACTGGCGAGGGCTGGAGGAGGGAGCAAGCCAGAGAAATACTACTGTCCCTCCACCTTTCCATCCGGACTCTTACTGCCTGTGGGCTAGGCTGCCGGCAGGCCTTCGTGCCTCACCCCTCCAGGAACACAGCTAGGACCAGAACGGACAGCAGGCTCTGCTGGCAGTGCTAGTTATTTACCACTGACTAGGCAACCCAAACTTCACGGTCACCAGTGGTAACGATGAGGCCAGCATTTTCAGACCCAGGAGATGGATCAAAAGGACCTCAGAGCACAGGGATGGGGCAGGAGCGGCAACACGACCCTGCAGAAGAAAGTGGGCAGAGCCACCGAGGGCCCAGCAAATGCCACCTTCTCAGATGCCCCCTTGTCCCGCCCCACCAAGCAGGTGCCATGTGTGGCCCAGCTGAGCCCCACTGCGATTCAGAGGCTGGCTGGGTCTGGCACACTGTTGTCCAGGTCGCCCCAGCTCCCAGAGGGAGCAGTGACACAGAAAAACTCAGGGAGACTATGGCCGTACCCCCCTGAACGTGCTCGATCTCATCTGATCCCGGGAGCTAAGCAGGGTCGGGCCTGGTTAGTACTTGGGCGGGAGAAAAGCTCAGGGAACTACTTGCATAGGCATTTCGTGAACGTTGGGTAACCAGTCGTGCCATGCTGGGGCCAGCGGCAAGTGCCTTCTCACCATTTGCTTTTCCTTCAGAATATAACCAGGATCTGAGCGGCACAAGCGCTGAAGGGAACTCCCTCGCCTGGCACATCCAGAGCTCGCAGCACCGGGGGAAGGCAGCGCCCTGGCAGAGGGTGCCGGCCTGAGGGCTGGGGGTGGAGGCGGGTGGGGGTCCTCGCCCAGGGGTCCGAGGGAAGAATCTGAGACTGTGTGCAGACTGGGGCTCCCTCCTGGTCTTCTACACCTACCCGGGAGGGACTTTAAGGGAAGCCAGGCTCCTGTGATCCTGAAGGTGGGGCTTGAGCCAGCAAGCCCCCCATGTGCAACCGGGTCTGACATTCTGGAACGCTCGGGAAAACGGCGGGAAGCAGCCTCAAGCACGGCTCCCGGGAGACACCCACCTCATCCCCCATGTGGGGCTGGAACTCAAACTTGAGTGGAGGACAGAAGACCTGGTTGCACATGTCCATGACGGTGTGCTTGTCGCTCCGGGAATCCAGGTTGTCCACCGCATTCTCAATAACGTCCAGCCCCTCGTGGCGGGACGTCTCCAGGTTGTATTCGGCCGAGAGGTAGGTCCGGAAGGTGCGGGCCAGGCTGGCGTGAAAGCCCAAATCGCAGCACTTGGGCAGAGGCAACAGAAGGGTGCAGGTGAGAGCCGGGGCGTGCAGGGGGCGGTCACCGACCACCACAGTGACTTACAGTAACCTCCCGTTCCACAGCCAGATCTCCGTCTCCATCCTGGAGGCCTGACTCTGGAATCCCACTGCGCAGCCGCACCGGAGCCCTCAGAGGGAGTTGGGGTTAAGCTTTGGGCAACGGCAGAACTACGCTCCCCAGATTCACCATGTTCTATCTCGTCTCTAGGCTTGCACACATGTGGACCCTCTGCCTGGAGTACTCTTCCTTCGGGATTCAGTTTAGAGGTCACTTCCTCCAGGAAGCCTTCCTCGATGTTCTCCCCACTCAGAGTTTATGTCAGATGTTCCTCCTCTGGGGTCCTGATTTCCCTCCACCTCCCTCACTGTGACCCTGCCACTTGCCACTGCCATCGTCATCGCCTATTAACACGTCCTCGCAGGCCAAGCTCCACGAGCACAGACCCACTGGCTCCGGCCCACTGCTGCACCTCAAGCCCTAGACCACGTAGGTGCGCGATCAATATTCGGGAAATGCAGGGCCGAAAGGGCTGAAAGAGCAAGTGGCAAAGGCAAAATCTGCTTGGAATGGTGGCAGTGGCTCCCCCTCTGCAGCCATGGGAAAAGCAGCGGCCCTCTGACTTCCCAGGAAGTCGGGAAAAGGACCCCCAGGCCGGTGCTGAGCCTTCGCCAAGCGTCTGTGGGGCCATCTGCGCAGGAACAGGGACACAAGAGAAACAGTCCCGGCCTCATCTCAGACAACACAGAAGCCGCCCCCCCAGCGCCACCGCTCACGGCGTCCTTTCCCTGAGCCTGGCTGTCCCTGCGGCGCGGCCCACACGGCGGGTGCTCAGGAGCCAGGGCCCCACTCTCCATTTCTTCAGCTGCCTGATTTCCCCACACAACCTTCCATATGAGGCTGGTCTGTGGAATTACTTCTGTCTCATCCACTATTTGCTTTCCCATGCGCGTGTGTCTGGCCGGACTTGGGGTGCTGACCATACTAACAGCTCCTTTACCACACTGGGAAATTGCCCACAGCATGACCTGTGTCATTCACCCCTGGACCCCTCAGCCCAGGAAAGGACCTGGTGTGGAGGGGTACTTGGGAAGGTGGCATCGAATATACGACCGGCCAAGCCAGCTGCGTAGGGGCCCCCGGAGGCCCACCTCCCACCTACGAAGTCCAAAACCGTGAGGTATCCCTCATTTTGCAGGTCCCAAATGCTCCCTGCCCTTTCCCTCCAGCAAGGCTCCAAAGAGCACCGGCCACCCCCGCGTGCGGCTAAGGATGCAGGCCAGCCGGGCGCAGGCCCGGCTCCGACTCAGACTCACATCGATGAGATCAGAGACGTCATGGATGTAGTATTTGCTTATAGCTGCGTTGGTGGCTGCCAGATTCAGCAGGTAGTCATTCCGGGCCTTCGTGCATTTCAGCTTGTTCTCAGAATACTTTGCCTGCCTCTGGAAGAAGAAGGAGTAGATGTAAGAGCCGAGCTGTTTATGGGCAGGATTTGGGATCTTCTTTATGGGAACGGCCCGCCATTCGAGCCCACACCCACACCTGTGGAAGGCCTCCGTGCGCTGGATGAGGAGGGCGCGGACCTGGACCGGGAAGCTCACCTTACGTTGCACGTGTGCAGCCCACCTCTGTCTGATAAGCGGCGGCCTTTCGATGGTTCTGCTCCAGTAAGAGCCCTATTAGACACCCTCCGATGGACGCCCAAACTGCGCCGATGGCTGTGAAGCCCCAAGGACCTGGCCTCTGTCCACCTTCCGAGCCCCATGTTCCTGCAGACTCCCCCTCACTCACTCAGCATCCTTCGTCCATCCCTTAAGAGGCCAAGTTCATTCCTGCCTCAAGGCCTGCAGACTCGCGTTGCGTCAGCCTGGCAGGCCAGCTCCCCAAATCGCCACGCAGCCTGCTCCTTCACGTCACGCGGCTCCTCACCCAAGGTCTCAGGTCACACGGCCTTTGACAACAAGCTTGTCTACGGTGCACCCCCAGAATCTCCACTTCCCCCTCTCCCTCCCCCTCTCTCCCTGCCCAGCTGTTTCTTCATAAACACTTTCCACCGCCTGAAACTGTATTTTTTGTTTTATCTCTTTGTTTACTAGAAAGCAAACTCTATGAAGTCAGGCGCTTGATCTGCCTTGTTCTTGCTGGGTCTGCGGCACCCAGAGCAGTCTCTGCACAAGGGAGGCGTCCTGTGGTTTTTGCTGACCGAAGGACAAGGGGGAGGGAGGGCAGGAGAGTGGCTGTCTGGGTGTGAGCGGTGGGGAGGGTGGGTGACGCAGCCAGAGGTCTTGGCTAGGAGCCTCACTGCCTCCCTCCTCTGGGCCAGCCTGGGCAGGGAGGAAGGGAAAGCAGGTTGGACAGCTGTCCCCACCCCTTTCACACTGTAATTCCCGCTACTCGGTAGAAAGACGGGCCTCCATAAAGACACGGGCTGTTCCTCCTTCACCTAGACATTCTTACACCTTCCTGTTCCACACTGAGTTCCAGCTGTTTAGCAGAGGTACCCCCATGGTCAACCTTTTAATTCTCTTCAGAGATCTCCTCTGACTTTTCTCCAAGGTCCTGGCAGTTGTTAATACATCCTATACTGCCCATGTACCCAGTCCCCGCAGAGAGTTAAAATACTCCTGGCCAATTTCTAGTGGCCCACTATGACCCTGAGACCATTTTCAGCCCTTCAGAGACTTACAAAATTTTATACCTGGAAAAGATCTTAAAAGTGTCTTAGTTGAACTCACCTATTTTACAGGTGACAAAATGAGAACTGAAGAGAAGTGGCTTAACCAAAAGCCAAGTGGCTCATTAATATACAACTCTGGACTAAAAACTGGTCTCCAGACCCCCAGCCAGTACTCTCTCTACCCCTCTGTGTCTCCCCCTGTGTCATAGTCCTAGCATTCTCTGCTTGGTTATTTTATTTCTATTTATTTTTACATAGAGTTGTACAACCACCACCAGTACCTAAATTCAGAATATTCTCATCCCCCCCAAAAGAAATCCTTCAACCATCAGCAGTCACTCCCCATTCTCCTCTTCTTCAGCCCGGGAAATCAATGATATACTTTCTATCTCTACGGATTTGTCTATTCTAGATACTGAATATAAATATAATTGTACAATATAAAGACACGTAAATGGTCTTTTGTGACTTGCTTCTTTCACTTTTGCATATTGTTTTCAAGTATGGTTTATCCACGTTTGTGGCACATGTCAGTGTCAGGATTTCGTTCCTTTTTATGGTTGCGTAATATTCCATTGTATGGATACACCACATTTTATTCATCCATTCGTCAGTAGACGAACATCTGAGTTGCTTCCATCTTTCAGCTATTATGAATAATGCTACTATGAACATTCACATACAAGTTTTTGCATGGACATATGTTTTCATTTCTCTTTGGTAGATACCCAGAAAGGGAATTGTTGAGTCACATGGGAAGTAAGTCTATGTTTAACATTTTGAGGAACTGCCAGATTGTTTTCCAAAGTGATAGAACCATTTTACATTCCCTCCAGTAGTGTGTGAAGATTCCAATTTCTCCACATCTTCACCAATACTTGATATTGTCTGCCATTTTTTTTTTTTTTTTTTTGAGACAGAGTCTCACTCTTTTGCCTGGGCTAGAGTGAGTGCCATGGCGTCAGCCTAGCTCACAGCAACCTCACACTCCTGGGCTCAAGCAATCCTTCTGCCTCAGCCTCCCCAGTAGCTGGGACTACAGGCATGCGCCACCATGCCCGGCTAATTTTTTCTATGTATTTTTAGTTGTCCGATTAATTTCTTTCTAATTTTAGTAGAGGCGGGGTCTCGCTCTTGCTCAGGCTGGTCTTGAACTCCTGAGCTCAAACAATCCGCCCGCCTCGGCCTCCCAGAGTGCTAGGATTACAGGCGTGAGCCACCGCGCCCAGCCTTGTCTGCCATTTTTATTCTAGCCATCCTAGCGGGTGTGAAGCAGTATTTCATTATGGGTTTGATTTGCATTTCCTTAATAACTAATGATGCACACAGTTGTTTCATGTACTTATTGGCCACTTGTGTATGTTTTTTGGAGAAATGTCTATTCAAATTCTTTGTCCATTTTTAAATTGGGTCTCTGCCTCATTATTGTAGTTTTCTTTGCCCTCAGAAATTACCCCGGAATTATATTTTATTTACCTCTACTGACTTTTCCGGCTTATCAGGGTCTTGTTAAGTTTTGTAACCATCCAATCTCCTATAATTTTTAGAGCTAAAGGATCATATAATTAGACTCATAGAGGCCCAAATAAACATCTAGTGCCATATTTGGCACACAGGAAGAGTTCAGGACACTTGCTGATTGCACGTAATGAATGAATACAGAGAATTCAACAAGAAAATCGTAGCCTCTTAAGAAGAAAGGAACCTCAGAAGTCACCTAGTTTAAGATGACAGGAAAGTAACATGTGTACTCCCTGGTCATGGCAGACATCATTAAACGATGGCACTGTTTTTAACTAAGCCTGAAGAGGGCTTCATAAACCCCAATCCAGAGCTCTGGGCAGCCACTACCAATGGATCACAGTTGATATGAGAGGTTAAGACTTATTTGGCATCCTGCCAGATTTGAAAACTGAGGCTCAGAGAGGTGTTGTAATGTGGCATTTTCAAAACTCAGCCCATCTGACCCCGAAACTGGAACTCCTTCTACCACGCCCTACTAAAGCACCGATACAGTGATTCTACATCTCTTGTCTCTGGCTTGGCAATGGCAGTTTTGGAATGAGCCCTCCACCAGGTTCCCAGGTGCTGGTTGGTGGCCCGGTGCTGTTCCCTCCTGTTGGGACATAGTCAGTAATCAACCCCCCACCCCCTGCCCTCAGCCACCAAATTGGCCTCTGGAACAAGCCCCTGCCCCACTAATGCCTGGCGATTCCTGCCCATCTGAGAACGCGCTTGCTGCCCGTGAGTCTCGGCACAGGTCAGCTCTCTTGTCAGCTGAGCGCCCTCCCGCCTGTCGACCCTGGCGACCCTGGCGCTAGGCCAGGCCCAAGCTGTGCTAGCAGGGGCGTGGCCAGCCCTCCTCCTCCTCCGTGCCACTGACCTCCACTGCAGCAGGGGGTGGCATCGTTCCACACCCACACCCCGGCTGCAGAGGAACGCGGGGCAGGCCAAGGCTGCCAGCCGGGAGCACAGCCCTCCCGTCCCGCTTCGTGCCCTTCGTGCCCAGACCCCACTCGCCTTCTCCTTCATCTTCTCGATCTTCTTCACAGAGCTGCGGCGCTGCGGCCGGTCCTCGTGCCGAAGCAGGTTCATGCTGAGGTCTCCCGACTTGTTGAACTGCTTCTCCTCCTGCTTCTCGGCCTCCTTCAGCTTGCTTTCTGCGCTGATGCTCTCCGCGTGGTACATGTGGTAGGTTTTCATGACCTGGGGCACACGAGTGCGAGAGATCAGCAGCCCGCTGTGGCCCCGCGGGGCGGTCCTATTGCTCGGGGCCCCTCCCACGCTCTGTGCTCCAGACCGATCTGTCCCCGCCTTCCCGGGACACACGCTGAGCGCTGCGTTTATTTGCTTTTACACAAACTCTCTGAGGGCCGGAAATGATGATGATGATGATGATGAAGATGAACATCATCATCATCGTCGTCATTAAGTCCTTACTAAGTGCCAGGCTTGGAAATTAAAAAGGGTAACAACAGCCCCCGAGCACGGGGGGTTGGCGGGAGCGGGGCTGGTCCTCAGAGGTGAGAAGGCGAGCCCGGCCCTTCCTCAGCTGTCCTCTCTAGCCCTGCCGCCAGTGACTCTTACGTCCTTCCCTCGCCGCCAGTGCCAATGGGAAAGCCCCTCCTCACGTACTCATGGGACTTCCACGGGCATGTCCTTCCTACTCACATGCACGTCATTTTCTCAGCTGTTTCCTGGACTAAATGAGGCCTGAAAATGGCTGTGTGCCCAGAAGGAGTATTGTTAGATAACCCAACAGATATTCTATGCTCTCTGGAATAAACTCATCCTTGCCTATGTAAACAATTCCCATAAAGCAAATAACTCTTCGCTACTCTACTTTCACAATAAAAACTGGATATTGTTACAACAAGGGAAATTTGTGAGCCAGAAGAAATTCTAGACATTACCTCATCCAAACCACCTAAGTTTGACAAAGAGGGAAACTGAGACCCAGAGGGTAAAATATCAGTGCAGAGTCTCTGGAATTTACATACATGTTGCCGGCACTATAATCAAGATATAGAACTTCTGGCCGGGCACATTGGCTCACACCTGTAATCCTAGCACTTTGGCAGGCTGAGGTGGGAGGATCACTTGAGGTCGGTTCGAGACCAGCCTGAGCAACATAGTGAGACCCCACGTCTACAAAAAATGAAAAATTAGCTGGATGTGGTGGTGTGCGCCTGTAGTCCCAGCTACTCAGGAGGCTGAGGCAGGAGGATGGCTTGAGCTCTGATCATGCTCTGAGGTTTCTGTCAGCCCTGATCATGCCACTGCCCTCATGCTTGGGCCACAAACAGAGACAACCGACTCCAAAAAGAAAAGATATAGAACTTCCACCACACCAAAAAGATCCCTCAGGCCCCTTTGCAGCCAATCCCCGACCCCACCCCAGCCCCAGATAATCACCGATTTTCTGTCAGTACGGATTGGTTTTGTGTGTTCTATCTAGAACTCCAGTTACAAGGAATCGTACGGTATAAATTCTTTAGGGTCTACCCTCTTTCACTCAGCATAACTTTTCTGCGATTCAACCATGATGCTGCATGTATCAGACATTCTTTTTGTGGCTAAGCATTCCATTGTGTGGCTATGCCGCAATTTGTTTATCTATTCATATGTCCTTAGTGATTTGGGTTGCTTTAGTTTTTAGCTATTTTGAATAAAACTGCTATGAATGTTTGTGTACAATTCTTTGTGTGAACATATGTTCATTTTTCTCAGGTAAACAGCTGGGAGTGGAACGGCGGGGGGTCATATGGTAAGTTTCTGTTTCACCATATTAGAAATCCAGCCTCTGACTTCAATCTACCACATCATACTATTTCCTTAACTCATTTCCATTTTCTCAGCAGATGTGAATACCTTTGGCAACCTGAGAGCAGGGCGGGAGTCCCCTGCCCGCAGCATCTTCTCTCCTGGTCCCCAACTAGGAGTGCACTTCCTTTTGCACTATCAAGTTTATAATCATATTTCTATACTAAGAAACACAGAAATTTCTGGAATCCATGTTTGCTGAGCCTTGTTCATTCTCTTCTGTTGTTTGGATAATCACAGCAACGAATAGAGCAGAGGCTTCTACCTGGGAATGGGATGTGCTCCTACCTAACCAGGCCCTTTAAAAATCAGGGAACTTAGAGTGAGTTACTGGCCAGCCAGATAATCTTAGGCATGCTCAACTGAAGCACTGCAAAGTAATTCGTTCAGTAACTTTTGTCATTAAATCACAGCACTGATTTGTTGCTCAGAAAGTCCCCTCTGCCACAGGCCAGGAGTCAATGGGGCAACATCTATTGTAGATCACGGCAGGTAAGAAAGAGGACTGTGGGCCAAAATGTCTGGACTGAATCCTGAGGCTTCCACTTGCTGGCTGTGTGACCTTGGGCAAGTCACACAACCTCTCTGACCTCTGCTTCCTCAACTGTAAAATCAGGTTAATAATAGCACTTACCTCATAGGTTTGTTGTAAGGACTAAATGAGTTAATTTTTGTAAAGTGTTGAGAACAAGACTTTCCACATAGTAAGAGCATGTAGGCAATTAGATGCTACCACCACTACCAGCACCGCACCCCTTCACCACCATCATCCCTAATTTGGGCTGAGGGTTTAAGAACCTTAAACTTACTCACTTGACTTCAGGAAAATACTTGCAAACTCTGGAAAACTTTAGCTAATGTGAAAAAACATATTCTATTCCATGTGTCTTTCTCCTTCCTTCATCCTAAAAACTTCCCATACTTGCAAACAATACATGAATAAAAAATACTGTCAACTTTTCTGCAGGGGTCTTGGCGGAAAGATCCCTTCTAGGCATTCCACTCACTTCCGCTGATTTTCAGTTGCTGCAAAGCCCCTAGAAAGCCACTTGTTGATTATTTCATCCATTTTGCATGCCTTTCAGTTGCTCCAAAGCCCCTAGAAACCCCCTTCTTGCTGTTGTCATCCCTTCTGCACGCCCATGTCACTAAGCTCATTTCCCCCAACTCAGAGAACCGGAAAGTGTGCCATATTGATGCGTTCTCGACATCTAGTGGCCACAAGGAGTCACTGCAGGCTTACTGATAACCAAAGCAGCTGCCGAATTTTCCATTATCTCCACGCCATGGTTTTGGGAAAAAGATGTGGCTGAGAGTTGGGGATACCTGCTGCAGCTGCCTCCAGGGCCCGCCTTGCCCTTCTTGTTACATTCCTCTGTCCCTCCACATTCACAGACACCTCTGGTTTCTCTGCCCACCCCAATATTTCTGGTGCTGTTCATTTCTGGACCCCATCTCTTTCTGGGTTCAATGGCTCCTGCTACATCCACTTTTTAAATTTCAGCTTCTGAGTCTGTTTACCTCACCATGAATCCGTCATCTGTGCTGAACAGCTACTAGGAAGAGAGAGCATTTCTATTTGCTGCCAGATCTTCCCGTCCAATCATCCACGCACGCGTGCATCCACTCAAGGTCAGCATCCCAGCTGCGTGTTCTCATCTCCCACATTTCCCTTTGCCTAGTTTTCTTTTTTTCCCCCTCCCTTTGTATCATTTTCTACTCTTCTGGAGCCCCAGAGTACTTTTTCTGCTCTCCAACAAGCCAAACTTCCCAGGATAACCTCTGAAGTGCATTCCTAAAATCCTGTGCTCGGAGAACACAACCCCATGCACCTTCGAGCCAAACTCCGTAATTTTGTCAATTCCCGATCCCAAGAAAAGGGTGACCTCCATTGCCCGGGGTGATTTATGTCAGACAGTTGCCACCAAAGAGCTTACCTGGGGGCTTCTCTGAAATGAGTCTATTTATACCCAGAATCCTCTAGATGTTTCCTTTATTTAATTACCTGAAACATGGGTTTTAGTATGAAAGGTCCTTAGCTCAATAGCGTAGAACAGTCTGCTCAATGTTGCCAGTCCAGAATGTGTTAAATAGTATTTGAACCTATCTTTTACTTCAAAGTTTGCAAACGTCTTTCTATGATCCCCTCTACTGACGGAGCCTTTCAATCAATCCTTACCCCAGTCCCGGGAGGCAGTATGAGAACAGTAACCACCATGCAGCAGCTAACGTTTATTGAGCACTTACCACGTGCTCAGACCCCGTTCATTCTCCTGGGTTCGCAGAGTGTAACAGCTGGAAGGTCCTCCAGAAATCTTAGTGTCCTAACCCCTCATTGAAGGAGACTGAGGCCCAGAAATAGCAAATATGTTGCCCAAAGTCACACAACAAAACAAGCCGAGCTGAGACCGGAGACTGGGTCTTTTCACCACTAGGTGTTGCCTTTTCTGGTAATCATGCTGCCTTTGGCTGTGTACACGTTGCCTTTTGCCTCTTTCCAGATCCTCAGATTCTGAAAAGAGCAAAGTGTTATCTGCACAGTCCTTCAGACCCTCATTTAAATGCAAAAGAAGGCGAACAGAATCTGGAAGTTGACAACATCGATAAAGGGACTTGCTGGGGCAGGATAAGGATCAGTTATTAGAAAACAGCTCCTCAACAGCGCAGTCCTGTGCGAGCCTCTACTCCACGGGCAGGGCCATCCCTGGGCACAGAAGCCCTCTGCCTCCAGCGTGTGTGTATGGGTGAGACCTTGGGCCAACGCATGCCAAAGGCCTCCTTGAAGGAAAAGAGAAGTTCCCAAATTTCAGTCTGACCATCCACACTGTAAGCGGCCTATGTTCTCTGTAGAACTTAATCTTATTTTAATTTATATATATTTTTTCACGTTTATAGACTATCTTGCCCCAATTAGAATGCAAAACCGAGGCTAGAACCTTGTTCATGATCATATTCCTCACACTAGAGCAGAGCCTCGTACCCGGCAAGTATCAATATATATTTGCATGAATGAATGAATGTTTGGCTGGCTGGCTGGATCAATAGATTGATGGATCAGTGGATATGGTTGGATGGATGGGGTAGATGGATGGATGAACGGACAGATGGGTGGGTGCATGGATGCATAGATGGGTGGATAGATGGATGAGTGGATGAAAGGAAGAGAGGAAGGGATGGAGGGAGAGTAAGATGGGGGAGGCACAGTTCTATTGCCTTTGATCTGCTGAGTATATTTGGAGGTGGGGAAGGCAGATGCACCTTCAGTCATTAAATATTTACTGAGCAGTTCACTATGTGCCAGGTACTATACTAGGAAACACTACTATATGGAAAACATATAGGGTCTCTGCCCTCCTAGGATGCACACAGACAATTATACAAGT